AAATGGTTCAATTTCTGAGCGTCCGTACGCTATCAAACGCTAAAATTAGACATGGGTTTTATAATGTAGTTATTCACATGGAGCGTATCTTTTGCTGCGTTTTTTTACTATCTCGCAATACTACATACAAATTCATTCATAATTAATTTTATTTCATTCATAAAATCATACCAAAGAAGTACGTTTGCACTCTGCAGTGAATATTGTTGTATAGATACCTCAGTACCTACCTAACTACTTTTTTTCTGCAATGGCATTTAATGGGTGTACCTAATAACGTTTTCTGTTTGTTTTTTGTTTTTGCATTTTGTGTTTTTTATATAAAACGTAAGCAACACATGTCGCTTCAATATCATTAAATCGATAAATGTAAAAATAACAATTTTGAAAAAAAAAATTAACTTTCGAGTTTCGACTTCCTTCGACCATGTTGTAATTTGAACTGAACAATGACCGTATGGATTATGATTTTAAATATGTTTTTGCGCATTTTTGGTAAAGAAAAATGCGCTTAGAACGCAGGTACGCTCTTCTCGTGTGAATATTTACAGCGTTCGCGTTTCGATACACGGCATTTCAAAAACGCGTAAATGCAGCGCACGAAACACTACGTGTGTAACCAGCTTAATGGTCGCGACGTACTGCAATGGCCCATTGTGGCAGCGGTGAGTGGGTAGCGGTGGTGGTGTTGATGAGGCTCGTGGTGGCGACGGAGCGGTGTCGCGCCCATAAGCAGCGAGAACAACTCGCACGTTTCGCGAACTCTCGTTCGCCGATCGTTATTGCCCGTAGTGAGTCGCAGCCGTGAGGCTCCGACAGACCCGTGTCGTACTCCCGAGCCACTTGTAAAAACCGCCGACAGGGGCAGCACGTGATGGATCGCAATCGCGCGTACGTAATGACGGTATCGGAGAGATTTCGGTGATCGCCGGTGCAATAATCACATATTATCGATTCGTTCGGTCTTTTCTATTCGAAAAAAGAACATTCATCATACACCGTCTCAGACTTTGATTTTCAAAATCAACTGTCTTTAAGCACACTGGGTAAACATCGTAAGTTTGTAACTTCGTTTTAAAATAACTCTGTGATTAATCAATTAACCATGTTCGACACAAAATACGACGTATACTTGTTACTCGCGCGAGCGCGAGCGCGTTTTTACGTCACCGCCGCTACCCTATATTGTTGTCGTCCGCACAGCTGTTTATGTCTGGACCAATTGCTGCCGCTGGACCTTATCAGCGGCAGCTATCTATCTTTCGTCTGTGTACGCGACTTACACCGTTCTGTTTTGACGTCGTACATACAGTACCTACGTATTTTTTTCATTGTGTTTTCTCTTGTACTATTGCCTACGCTCAAAGCATATTTTTCTCGTTCGTGAGTGAACGAGTGCGATTCGGTTCGCCGCCGCCGTCAAGAGCTCCGTGATACCGCGCGCGTCTAGGCCGTTTGTCGCTGACTATTGCGTCGTGTTCGGACCGACTGTGAGCGTCGACGCGCCGTTCACCGTGCATGACCGACTGACCACACGATAGTGCGTAAGTACGTGTCCGGTCTGTTGCACCACAACGTATAATTTCACGTTTTGAGTGCCATCCGACTTACAACCGGATGTGCTTGGAGTCTGTTGTCTGCGTACATTGACTGCCAAGTTCTTCCCTGTTTTACCGTAGAACGCTTAAGTTGTCACTTATTGTTGGTATCCATGCTATATTGACTGTGAGCTTAGCACTTGGACGTGCAAGTTCGTAAACATTGTTTCACTCGGCACTAAGCAATCAACATCGTACATCGTCTTCAACTTTTCCCTCGCGTGGTACCATCATTGCCAATACTTTTGTCACGGTTTTTCTCAACTTCCAGGTCAAACAGGTTACGTTAGGTTTGGTACTCTTATCTTGTATATTATCTTGTACCATATTATTTGTTTTGTTCATTGGCAATCGATATTATCATTACTGTCATTTATTTATTATTACGATTATCTGTTGTAAACGCAATATAGGTATCTTATTTAATTTGTTTGTTCATACAATTCAGTGTTATTGTAATAATACATTCTTTACAATCTCGTTGTTTAAACTCACTCCCAAAAAGTTTCATGTGCAACTCAATCGCACAAATCAATTGTTAATTAGTATAGTTGAAATAAAGGCTGTAAAAAAAAATAAACAAGTAAAATATCAAGATTGCCTAGCTAAATTCATGTTATTTTATAATTAATAAAAAATAATTAATATATATACATATTATATTATAAAAATAATTAATAATTAAATTATCAATGTTATAATATGAAATGTAAAATTGTAATAAAATATTCCAAAATTTATGTGTCCGCCCCCGGGTGGACTCGAACCACCAACCTTTCGGTTAACAGCCGAACGCGCTAACCATTGCGCCACGGAGGCTCGATGTATTACAGAAGGTATAATTTCTCACTTAAAAACAGTCTTGAACAGATTTAAAATCAATATTATGTAAAACGTATACTGACCTACTGATACATAATATATTCTAATAATCAGAAATATTATTCAATTTATTTTTTAAACGACGCATTATTATTTTGTAATTACAGGCTCGTAGTGCTGATGGTGCTGCTACGGATTTATATAAATATAAGCCCTTACGTTTACTATTACACGGGGGGGGGGGGATCATATAAATGTTGTTAAGAGCAGTAGAGTAGCTCTTATTATAAATATAATACATAAACATCAGTAGTAGGATTGCAATGATCAGTGGCACAACCAAGATTGGTTTTTTTTTTTGGTGGGGGGGTTGTGAATTTGGAAAAGATAAGCATTTTCTACAGGTGTTTGGTGACGATAAGGAAGTAAGATTTAGTTAGGTGTATGAGTTAAATATTTAAATTACAAATTAAACTGTTTAACTTCTATGTTATATTGTGATATCACAAAAAAATTATTATACAATCGACCATCGAGAAATCGTCGTAGCAAGGTTATTAATGTTTTAAAGTTGAACGGAACGTTACAAAACGTTCTATATCTTCATGTTATTATTTTTATCAATTATAATACGAAAAATATTCATATTTCATATCAATCAGCCGTTTCATGTGTTCAAGATAAACCAATTTTTCCTACGTAAAATTTTGGGAGGGGGGTTTACAACCCCCAAACCCCTCCCCTAGTTGCGCCACTGGAAATGATCACCACGGTTGCATGCCAAATAATAATATGAAAATGTAAATAACAACAAGTAGTACAAGTTATCATCATTAATTATAAAAGACACATGAAAGGTAGTCATACTAAAAACAGAATCGCGAGACCAACCTTTCAAATATATGATGGGTAATCATATTAGAAACGTATGTATTTTTGCGAACCGAGGTATTCTTCTTCTTCTTCTTCTTCTTCTTGAGGTTTGTCAGATCGAGGTATTAAATATAAAATGTATAATATATAACATTAAATTACTTAAAACATATTTCGAACTATATCCTGATTAAGCGTATCACACAAGGATTAGATACACAGGGTGTAACAGGTCTATTTAACTGATTCAATACATTTTTTTCTATTTAATTTTCTTAAATTCTTTATTTTTATTTATTTTTAGTGATTTCTAGAGTTCTACGCTTTAATTTTTATAATTAATATTTTATTTTATTTTTTACAACTAAAAATAAATAACTTAAATTTTGTATAACATTTTTTTTCTTATAATCCAAGGTAGCTATTTTATATATAACCAGGGGCGGAACTAGGGGGTGGAAGACGGGGATTCATCCCCGGGCGAAAAATTTTAGAGGGTGTAATTTTTCTAATTATTTATTTTAACTTTGTTAAATACTGATATTAGGTTAAAACTCAACATGGTCTTTAGTGGGGCGTAATTTTAACATTTTCCCCGGGCGTAAAAATTCATAGTTCCACCTCTATATATAACTATCTAAAAACAATTTTAGCGTTTAAAACTTTTAATTTGGTTACGCCATTCATTTTTAAACAATTTTCAAAGTGTGTTAAAATTTAAATTTTTTTCTTGCTAATCAGTATTACTTCTGTTGTTGATTTAGAATTGTTTTTTTTCTAAGAAATAATAAATTTTTTATCATTAAAAGGTAGGTAGTCAATTCGGCTGTAGTTGATTTGCACCAAAATTGACCCAAAATACATTTGCGACGTGCTTTTAATATGATTCCTACACTGGTGTGCATGGTGGATAAAAATTTAAGTTTTAATGGGACACAAATATACAATTGTACAGTGTACATAATTACAATACTTTATTTATTAATAATTATTATTGAACATTGCATTAAATAAAAAGTAATGGCGTGTAACTAATCATTGTTAAAAAATATAAATATGTATAATAGTATGTTTACTAGTTACCATATGAATAACATCCCGTGAAATTAACCTTTTGGCAGGTACGCTACTGTATATTACACGAGTAGGCGCGTGTCGTACTTTATACGATAGTATGCTTTTCATATATATTTAATTAAAATAAAGGATAAATAAATAATTTTTAATAGAAATATTTTTTGGAAACATTTTACTCTAATTTATATATTATTTTATGAATTTATAAATATTTTTTTTTATAATTCTTTATGAATTATCGAAAATATATGAAACAAAATTTTCGTTACTAAGATCATTGTCACTATCAAAATCTTCAAAATTGTCTTCTACTTCTTCGTCTGATAATTTTTGTATCATACGCGCAATATTGTTCATAATAAGGTGAAAAAAGTAATACACGAAAATAAAGAAAAAGAAAAATATTTGTATGAAAAAAAAATAATACCACGACCAGGCGCGAGACGTATTTCGTGCACTTAGACGGAGCTGACTAAAAATTTCAATATATTTAATATACATCAATAATAATTTAAAAATACGTAAAATTAGATAATAATCATTATTGTTATAACATATTATTATTGTTTATAACATATACGTCATTATAGAATAGGAAAAATCCAAGTATTAATCGGGATACGTAGATAAAATTTATGTCAATAAATCTATAATTGTCGTACAAAATGAGCATACGCGCCTGCTGAAAGGTTAAATAATAGTGTTTTGATATGAAAACTATGTACAACATTTCTAATTGGCTATAATATGTTAATATTATTATGTAAACTCTGATTGATGATTCGGTACTTAATATGAGTCAAAGTATAATTCTTTATTCAGGATTTAAAACTATTATTAGTAGTGGCTTTTCTGATAATGTCCAGAGTAAAGGAAAACTGTTTATGAAAAGTCACCATGTTATAAACATTAAAGAAATATTATTTGGAAACAAAAGTCAAATTAATGACCATGTCATACGGTAAGCTTCTGTTACGTTGCATCCATATCTAATGAAACTCGTAATAAATTTAACTTAGTCTTAATAATTTATTGCAATATTTCATTAATATTATTCAGTTTAAATAATTGTATTCAAAATAATTAAAAAACTTGAGAAATTAGATTGAATAGTCTAATATTCTTGAATTATATAATAGGTTGATGGGTCCGACAGAGATATTGTAGAAGCTTTATGTTAACGTCTAGCAGGTATTGGAGGAAAATGTAAGTATATGCATTAACACATTATATAAATATAAAGAGTGGTCATTCTAAAATCATTGATCGTTACGAATGGAATGAACCTAAAATTTCAAAGGCAGGAAAAGAAAAATATTGCATGGGTAAAAGAAAAGAACTATTTTCATCTAAGCTTGTTCAGTTGACACCATGCACCCATACAAATACAATTCCTGATTTCATAATACCATCTTTATTTAAAATTGTCTATGATGAAGAAAAAAAAAAATAGATAATGAAAAAATTGTATCTGAAGTCTTAAATAATTTAATAGAAAACACTTAAGAATCATTAAGATTAGAACAGTCTACTTTTCTCACAAATAAGATTTTAATAAATCAAAAACAAGAAAAAAATATTATTAAACCTAATTTTATAAATAAAATAACTGAAACTTTTTATGAAAACAATGTTAAATTATCTGAAAATAAGATAATGAACATTTTTATAAATACAGTACAACAGTCCAATGTTGCATGGTTTGATGAAAGGTCAATTAGATTGTCAGCTAGCAAAGAACATTTGGTAAAAATCAGATTAAGAAATTTTGAAAAATTAGCTATATCTTTATAAATAAGAAGCCAATGTTTGGCAAAGGTCTAAAAAATGTTGCCTATGGAAATGAAAATGAAAAAATTGCGCTAAAAAAATATATAGAAATGTATGAGATTGAAGTTTATGAATGTGGTTTAGTTATAAATCATTTAAATCCTTGGTTGTGTGGAAGTCCGAATGGATTTGTAATGTAGGATGGAATACTTATAAAAGTTTTCGAAATAAAATGTCGCATTTTTTGCCATAATCAATCAATTATTACTGATTCAAGAAAATGTAATTTAAATTATTTAATTATAGATAGTAATGGAGTTATTATGTTTAAAAAAACCACATTGATTATACTCAATGCCAAGTTTTTATGAACTGCTATGGCTTGCAATACTTTGATGTTTTTATTTATTCAAGCCAGTATAAATGTATTTTAATTAATATAAACAGAAATGATATTTTTTTAAAGAATTGTATTTATAAAATGAATAATTTTTATTTTGAATATTAAAACAATTAACAATTCATTTTGGATTATATGGTTTTATATGTTAGTACAATAAACAATTAACTTTTCAATATACATGTATATACCATATTATAATGTAATTTTTGGTATTGTTTTAATATCATTAAAATTCTTTAAATGTATAATTATGTTTAAATTTAAAGGTTTATATTGATATATTATTTACATACTGTTGCGTGCCAACTGTTTGATCGTTGATTTCAGTAATTGTAATCTAGTCAACTTGGATGTAGGTATAAAGTAAAAATGCCAGTTGTGATAAAATAATTTATTAAAACTGTTAAAATTATTCTAAGTACAATGGTTTAAATTAGCTGTAAATATTCTAAATCCTGAGCATTAAACTTTATAAAAATAATTCAAAATATTTCCAAGTCCAGACCATGACATACACTAGCGTGAAGGTGCTAAGTGCCGCATAGCCAAAACTCATCTGATTTGCCCTTGTTTTCGGGTCCCTTTTATATCCGATATATGCAAGTGTGTGTGTGTGTGTGTGTGTATATGAAAATGATAATAAAAATATGATAACTCTTGTAAATTCTGCGTTTGTGAATTATCTCTTGACTAACCCATATTTAATAACACAAAGATCCAGGATGTGGTCACTACTATTTTATTGTCATTTCTTATTGTAATTTCCTGTCTAAATAACCATGTGAATATAATAATCTAACTTATCCATGGTTGTGGTTTTTGATATTCTTGGGAACCTCCTTATAATGTAATTTTTATTATGTGATTACACAGGACGCGACAATACACATGATAAATATACCTAAATATTAAGATGAATACAAAATCATATTTTTCATTTAATTAAAGGTGGCTGTTAATTTGTCATTACACATCACACAAATATTATATTATCAATATTTTCCAAAAGTTCAATGGGAATTTTTTGAAGGATGTTATAAATTTTTATTCTCTGAATAGATTTTCCAACGTGTATTCGAACACCAGCAATATTATATGATGTTATAATTTCGTCTTCAGTAAAAACTCCATTGTGCATAAAGAGGGGCATAACTAAAATCGAGTTTTTTCATTTACACTAGTTTTTATCCAAGGAAATCCCTTGTCAGCTATAACTTGATCCCCAGGTTCTAATAAGTTTAATAAACCACTATTATTAGTGATAAAGCTATCACTAGCTCTACCACCATAAGCTTTTTAAACAAAAGTGATCATACCACATACCACTTTTCCAACTAAAAATTTACAAGTAAAAGCAGATTTATAATGAAAGTACATAAATGCTCTTTGATCAACATGTGGTGGTTGTTCAGTTTTGACTTCTGTATAGTCAATAATAACGCTACAGTTTGGATAATGTTGTTTAAAAGATTGTGGTAAAGTGAAAACAAAAGATTTCTTACTAGGCCAAAACACAAATTTTTGTAGTAATCGAAAGCATTTTTAAAATATTTTTAAAAATTCTTGAACATGTGGACCGGTGTAGATTAAAGAATATTGAAATTGATGTAAAACTAATTCCTAGTTTTAACTTCACTAATGATAACAAAATCTATCTTCTTTAGTTTTTTTTAGAATAATTTTGATCATCAATGTATGTAAGAAAAACGTTGAAAGTTTCAAAGTTAACACTACATAATGATATTAAATGATTTTCATTTTTTATAGACTTAAAACCAATAAAATATTCTAAGATATCATATTTTACACTACTTTCAAATTTATCAACCATTTTAGGCTTAAAATAAATTGAATCTAAGCCGACAATATTTGCTTGTGTGTTAACATTATTATTGGAAAAGAAACAGGAGAATTCAAAATTGTTATTTATTAAATTCAAAGAAGTTTGAGTAGATTTATCCTCAGTGAATTTTACAACATTAGGACAGTCAAGTTCATTTGATGCAGTTAAATTATTAGGTATTATTGAATTTGTGAATTTGTAGGTATAATAATTATAATATATAATTATATAATTATTATATTACAAGATTTTATTTTTTGTAAACGACTGAAACGATTGACACTTTCGTGTGCTGAAAGTTTCAGTTTGTATTTTTTTTTTTTTATTAAGGCCTTGAGAAGGCTTTATTAAGGCAGTTTGTATATTTTAGGAAATATTGTTGGATAGAATAATGGACTACTTGGGTGTTTGGATGGTGTACCACCATATATTCACTACATATTCTTGAGCTTTGATACGGTTTCCATGGTTGATTGTTAGAGCTAAAATTTAACAGATAATTACTACAAATAATGATTATAATTAAATACCGTTTTAGTTAAAACTAAGCACATATTACACGAGTCAAAGTTATTTTTCATTCAATATTCAAGTAGAAAAACTTTATAAATTATTCCAATTATAAATATTATTTTTTTTATATTTGGTAACCATAATATAAAAATACATAAATATATTATCATAATTACATGAAATAGCTGACAATTAATATAAATACCAGCTATTAGAGCAATAGTAGAAAAGGGTGAACATAAGTTTATAATATAGGTCTACAAAGGGATTTGATATAAAATAGGTGGTTACCTATTAGTTTTAGATACCTACATACCTTTTTCGCTTCATTACTTGAATCCATTTATTTTTCTGTAGAATGTCATGTGGTTTACTAAGAAAACGAAAAAACTAACGTTTTTCGTGTTTTTTCATGTATTTGTACAACCAACAATACAACAGATCTGATTACTCATATTAATATTATAATAGGTACCTACCTAATAAAAATTATATCTTGGTTAGAAAACAAAAACGGCCAATAGTTTGACGGCAGAGATAGAGTAAATAAACTTGTTGTACCTACGTATTATATTAATTATTATATTATTATACTATTTTATTATTATATATTATTAATTTACGTATAATTATATTAATTATACGTAAATTAATCTCATAAAGTCATCAACAAGACATTTTTGATTAATTTACTGTTATCCATTAATAATTGTATACCATCAAAAGTTCGAATGTTGTCCGTTAGGGTGAGCATACTGCGCACATGCACGTCGCTTATACAACATGTGTTATTTACACCAAAATGTTTGAAATGTGATTGTAATTTGCCCCAAAATAATGATATGTAATTTGGACTACCCTCAGGTAATAAGAAATAGGAATTATAATTTGCACCAAAATTATAATCTATTATTTTTTCGATAGTATCTCGATAGAACCAAAGTACAAGTTTCTATACATCGAGATATAAAAAGCTAATAACACAGAATTTTAGGTTTTATAATATTTTCATCGATCATTATGAATAATTTTCGTTTGTCTTTCTCCAATTTTGACTTCTTAACCTCAAGTGTACAAATAGACATTTTTAAAAAATATAAAAATATAAAAATTGTACAGCGAATTTTTTTCAAAAAATGAAGAGTTAAAGCAGATAATATATTTGTAAATAATTTACAAGTTTATTAAAAAAAATATTGTATGAATTACATATCTTCAAACAAATATTTAGCTACTGTAAAAATTACTTTTATAAATTGAATGTTATAATTAATTTATAACAGATTTTAGTTCATAAAATAAATATTTAAGTTTCACCATTCATACAAAGCTGAATATTATGACACTGGAGGAAAAAAAGAAATAGATTTGGCTCTAAAACTCCAAAAATACTGGTGTAAAGATAATCAAGTAGCTATAAAAAATTTGATATAACTAAAATATGTAATTAATTAATTAAATTATGATTATTTTACATTAAATATAGTTTGTATGACCGCAAGATTGGCACAGTGGCATCATTTCAGTTTTCAACTGAGGGGAGAAAATGTTTTGACCGGCTCATAATATATTAAAGGCATATATATCAATTTTAAATCATTGATTTAGAAGTCGACTAGTCATCACTTAGGTGTACGAAATACAAATAACAAAATATAATAAATATATTCTAAAACC